TATTTAGAACAGGGATGTTCTAAATATTTTAATTCCTTATAGAACTCCCAAACTTTACAGAACACACCACTGCCTTACCAAAGGGACTGAGGGAAACTACCTAAAACTTTTTTTTTTCTTCTTCTTTTATAGCTCTCTGTCTGTGGTCAGCCATTGTACAGGGATTGGCTATAGGTTTTGGGAATCTGAGCATCTCGTTTGTGATTGCCTTGATTTGGAAGATGATTAAATTCACAAAGGGATGCTGAGTGTGAACACCCAAGAGCAAAGGATTGGACACTCATCTAAGCAACAGAGTTCAGGTCTTGAACTCTATTATAGTGGGTTAAAACAGAAATTGTTCTAGCTTTCTACCAGCTGTTAATAGCTATCTAGCTCCAATTGCCATATTTTGAGGAATATATTCCTTTAGCAGGCCCCCAACAAACCATCTCAGACCCTGTGGCAAAGAGCAGAGAAACGTTCTGAATACTGTCTGTTGTACATGTGATGTCACCTGCTCCACTGCTCGTTTTCTAGCACATGCTTCTTGAGGGCAGGAACATTAATGATCACTGAAGACATGGGTTGAGGCGGTTGATCATGTGGGAAGTGAGGCACGTCTGCACCAGTAGAGCAGAAACACTTGATCTGGCTCTATACAAGCCAGAGCTTATTTGCTTATGTTCAATTAATCTAGCTAGAATGCTTCCAGTCCTTGGACAGAAGTTGCATAATGCTCTGAAGATTTACAAAACCAGTTTGGTGCTGGATTGTAAGAATGCACCAGGCCCTCACTGGTGCAGTTTCCCCAACTCTGCATTGGTGGACAGTTTTCCCAATAAACTCTCCCATACTCCCCATACTCTCCAATTACTCATTTTTCTGCATAAAGAAAACCTCCATGATCCTGCTGCTTTCCCATCACTATCTCTGCTGCCTGTGTGTTGCCCAGTATCCCTGCAAAGACTTCCCCTCATAAGCAGGACTTTTCTACCTATTCAATTACACATGTCCTGTGCTGTAAAGGCTGTCAGTGTCCCTTCCTTTTTTCACAGATGAAAGCACAACCGTCCTCAAGCTACCACCAACACTCAAGACATTCCTCAAACAACTCCTATCCCCAGCACTTTAGCAAGTCAGCTTTGTTAATGCTTCTCTGTGAGGATGTTTGCCCTGAAGTATTCTTTATAGCAGCAGGAGATAAGAATGGAACTCAGCCCAATCACAGAAAGCTTGTTTTTGCTGGGATTCATTGCAAATGTAGGAGAGGCAAAATTTCTCTCCTCCCTCCCTCCCTCCCTCCCTCCCTCTTCCTTCCTTCCTTCCTTCCTTCCTTCCTTCCTTCCTTCCTAAAAAATAGGAGGAATGTTTGTATAACATTTTAATGACCTTTGGTCCTGGGCACTTTACAGGGAACAGTTAATGCCTTCACTTCCTGCTGTGACCTGATTTTACCCTATAATTGGTAATGCTGTGTATTGGCTATATAGATATGTAGTACAGCATTAGTATTAATATTAATATTATCAGCAACCACTCTTACATAGTGGTCTGTATCAGAAAATCTGATGTGCATTTAGTTCATTTAGTTTCCTGAGAAATGTTCTGTGAAGAATCAGCCCAGGACCCCTGAAAGTATGCTTACTTCCTTGTGATTGTACACCTATGCTTGTTACTCCAGATGTGATCTGCAGGGCTGATCTTTCAGAAAATATGGAGAAACAGTATTGTCAAACACATAAGAAATAGGTGAAGCCTATTCTCTTGACTCATTCTTATATTTTCAGTCTGACTCTGAAAATTAGTCTCTCTATAATTCCTCACTACTTCTAGAACCTGTTGAAGAGAATACAAACAGGATGTTTCTGTGCTGGACTGACCAACAGTACAGACTCTGGGTGAGTTTAGGAAGTTGAGTTAACTCAATGGCACAAAGTGAGTTTGATTCCATTTTAAAAACAACAGTGCTAGATCGGCTTGCCAACTGCACTAGACAGCCAGAACTCCTACATCTGATCTAAGGAATTTTCACTCAGCTCCAAAGGCCTGCTTTTTACTGCCCTATACCTTGTAAAGTCATGGACCCGTGAAGAGCAATGGTGATGTTACTATCTCACTCACTGTTTCATCCAGCTGCTCAGACATTCAGACATTTGCCTGCACCTGCCCACAGTTGCCTGGGCAGAAATTTGCTTAAATGATCCCAATCCTCTTGCACCAAGTGTGATCACCAGGGTCAGGGATTTTGAGAGATGGTCTTACCAGGAAAGACTGAGGCAATTCAGTAATCTACTTTCCTGTATCCGTGTGAGATGATTTCCTAACAGTCTGTCGAAACTGGCAGCCCTGGCTTTCCCTGCTGCATGCAGTCCTGCACCTCTTTCCTGTAAGGATCATGTACAATTAGGCTAGCTTCCAGCCTGTTCAAACCAATGGAAAATCTCATCTTAAAAAGGCTTTGAAGACCCCATGTACAAACCCTCTTTTCCATGGACAAAGCAGATCTTCCTGCATTACATTTTTTTTGGTCAGGCAGAGAAGCTTTAAAGCACCAGATGGAGAAGTTAGAGAACAAGCCTGGGCTGTTTTTTTGTTGGTTTGTTTCTTTTTTTGCTTTATGCAGTCCTCAAGGAAATTAGGCATACATTAGTATCCTCTTTGACTCATGCAGGGCTACTGCAGGGCAGAGGTCTCTAGTGAAAGTTTATTATGACATTGCATTTAAGATTTCTTGATTCTAAAATCCGTGAGTTTAGCAAACTACTGAGCATAGTAGGAGGGGGGAAGATTAGAAAGAATCATTTTACCCTGTGCCCTTCTTAATCCACAAATTATGCTTTAGGTCCTCTGACACAGACTTCTATTCTTTCGAGTCTGGGTTAGGGCTATGAGTAAGAGAGATACCTTACTGGCACTTGCAAGGGTATTAATTACCAGAACTATTGATCCTCCTACTGCAGAGTAGGGTAACTATAGTAGAGCCACAAGTCAGGAAGAAATTTCCCTCCATGACACAATATTGCCTATCATGCTGCATTATGTGGATTTTCAGCTCCACTCTGAAGCAACCAGCATGGTCCCCATCAGTTATATAAATGTGCTAATAACTTGATCTGGAACGAGAGCCAGTATACACAGAACAAGACATTGTACATCTATTCTGTTGTGTTACGGTAACTGCTGCTCTGTAGAACTGGTTAATATGTTACATGCTGTTAATAGGGTGAACTTTTGGCAGCTTCTGTCATATTCCTGTCCCTGTTGCAGTCAGGGTGAAGGTCAGATTATCTTAGAGAGGTGATTGTCCAACTACTCTCTGGCCCTGCTTACCAGCATTAGTCTGATGGGACCAGGAATGGGCAGCACAAAAGATTACAGTGGGTGGAGAGGGACAGTTTTCACAAAGTTTGCATTTACCATTTCCATACCCAGCAAGACTGCTCTAGTAAGTGAGGGTTCACTTACTAGACGTAATCATGCCTGTAAGTGGGGGTTGGATACAGCACAGATTTAAAACAGTAGCTCTACTTTCTGCTCCCAGCTCTTCCATCATTCTCCATGATCAGTGCACTGGCCAGCCTCACAAGCAGCTCTGCCAGGAATTGAGTCCTTCCACTTTTCCTCTGCTCTTTTCTTTTCTCTAGCTGTTACCCTCCCTCCCTCCCTCCTCCCTTACTCCTCCCCGTTCTCCCCCTTCTCCGAAAGGGAGACAGCCCCATGCTGTCAGGCTCCCTTCCCCCCTCATCCTTAGTGCCTGGCCTTTTGCCGGGAATTCAGAGCTGCAAGTTTCAGCCCCCCTTACATTCCTCTTGCCTTTTCCGGGTGGATTCTGGCCCACAGCCCTTATCTCCTCCAGCCTGCAGGCTATTTGCTGTGGAGAGCATAAAGGGGTTGATCCACAAGACAACAGAGGAGCAGTATAAGGTGCAGAGAAACAGCGGTAGCAGACCAGGCTGGTATTTGCTTAGTTCACCGCATCCTGCTCTGCACCATGAGGAAGGACAGGCTACCAACAAAACCAGTCATCTTCCTCCTTCTCTTCGTCGTCCTCTCTGGAAACAGCTCTCCTACCACAGAACCGTAAGCAAAACATGGGGTTCTTTGGACAGGCAGGAGACCTGGGTAGTGTTCTTGACTCCGTTCTCACCCTGGCATCTTCTGCTAGCTCTATTTTATCTGGCCATAAAGACAACAGAACTGGGTAAAAGGAGTTCTAGTGATCCAAAGGGCCTCAAAACAGCAATAAAAATAAATAAGATGTTATAGGAATAGCTTTTGCTGCTTGAGTGAATGGTTTGAAAATTTTCGGCAAAACTTTCTGTTCAATATTGAAGTAGTTAAAACATGACTTTTTATAACTGTTTATACACACATCCATTTTTCTTAAACCTTTAGTTTTTAATTTTATTTTTTAAAGCAAATGAAAGGCTTCACTTTGAGTTGACTCCCTACTCCCAGGTCATAATGCCCTGAGGAAGGGAATGTTTATTTGTTTCATAGGATTTGTTCAATTTGTACAAATTTGTTCACAGTAACAGATCTGACATTACCATATTTTTTATTATTATTATTCATATTTTTTTAATTTAGTGAATAAGGTGTCCCTGCTTGACCAAGGGGGTTGGACTAGATCCCCAATGATCCCTTCCAACCTCAACCATTCTGTGATTCTGTGTGTGTATAATAGAGTGAAAACTTCCTTCTCAACATTATATGACGCCTGTTAAACATGAGTATAACTGTTAAGGTCTGTGAGGTGCTGGCAGACTGCAAGGGTAGTATTATATCTGTATTATATCACATCCTTTCTTCACTCCCGTTTGCCCATACCTGCTTCTATATTAAAGAGTGTGTGTTTTGTGTGTGTGCATAGCTAGAGCCATGCGCAAGGAGTTCTAACATCCCAGAAACTTTCTTACTGCTCTCTTTGCCAATGTCCCTTCCTCCTCCGCAAAGTAAAGCTGTGCTGCAGCACTTTGGTCAAACACAGGGTAGAGTGCTGCTTTTTCTGAAAGTGCTAAATTTTCTCCAGTGTTTTTGCTTAAGATCTGGCACCACAGTGTGGCCCTTTTGGGTCTCTGCAAGGCATGAAGAAACTACAGACTGTAATGGTGTCAATGCCATTATTTCACAACGTACCATCATTTGTGTGGCTCCTGAAGCTTACTAACATTGACTAACAAAGGTGGCACTTGACGTTTTTGCTCTTCTGCAAGCTGGCAGCATTTAGGCTGCTGGAAGGAAGTGCTGCTATTGTGCCAAAATCTGGTATCTTTTCCAGACATTTGCTTTAAGGATTTCTGGCTCTATTTTAGTTTTGAGCATCATCCCTATGTTTTTCCTTGTTGTTACAGGCAGGATGGAAAGCTTGTTACATTCCTGGAAATTGCACCTCTCTCTGTAAAGGTGGCAGCCATGAGACTACTTTACTTGCTCTTTTGGTGCAGTTTCTGTTACCTCTTCCTGCTCCTGTGTTTCCCCTGTTCTGCTGTGTTTGACCAGTGTTTTCCCCTCTTCCTAGGCAGTACATGGTGCTACTGCCCTTCCTGATATCCACTGGCACTCATGAGAAGGTCTGTGTTCAGCTGACCCACCTGAATGAGTCTGTGACACTGAGTGCCACACTGGAGTACCAGGGGGAAAACAGGAGCTTGATTGATGATGTGGTGTCAGAGAAGGATGTGTTCACCTGTATCCCTTTTTCAGTGAGTATTTGATGCTTGTGGACTGACTGCTTGTGTCAGGGATAAACTGTAAAAGGGCTCTGAGGAGTATTAAAAGTAGGTATTCACTTCCCTCTAGTTCACATTAGTGTCCACACTCAACACCTTCTTCTGGCTTAGCTCTTCTTAGCATCCTATGTGAATGGGAGATGCTGAACCCTGGAAAGCCATACCCTCTCTAGAACAGGAGCAGAAGAGGCCAGGAGAAAGAAGGGCATTTAGTTTTCACACGTCTGACAGCTGTTTGCTCCGATAGTTCTTCATATGATCCTTCGTAGGATCACTTCTTCAATGTGATCTTCATATGTTCCCCCATTGTCATATGGGGGGCTTAGTCTGGGGTAGAGCTGTGTGTAAAATGCCTTTTGCCTTGTGGATACAATACACTGAATTAATGTGAGAACATGGAGATGTAATTGCTTGTGTTTGGAAAACAGGGAAGCAGGGAATTCGTACATTAATATAAGTGAGAATTTTAGGAGCAATCCTGGGCAACTAGAGGAGCTGATCACCTGACTTAGTCAACAGAAAGGCCTTTGGCCTGAAGGCTGAAGAACTGGCCTTCGGGACACTGTATATGTTGGCTGGGTTTATCAGATACAGACTAAAGATTTAATTTGCTTTTTAGAGAGAGGTGTACAAGGGTCAGTTATGTCTGGTTTGGAAAATTAAACCTTCTGGAGGGACTAAGGACAGTATCTGAGAGAGAGGGATGATTCTATCTTCCTAGGGATGGCAAAAAAAAAAGAGCAAAAATATATTGGTTAAAATTGCTTGGCAGGGCTGGGAATTCATTTGCTGTGCAATACTTGCATAACCACTGCACTGCATTAGGAAAGAGAAGGAATGTGAGACAAGTAAAGATCTGTCTCTTGTTCCTGATTTCAACTTCCCTCACCTCTAATCAATGTCAAGATTATGTCAAGATGCCTAATAAGGATTATGTCAGATGCCTCATTTCACAAAGGTTAGTTCACTTCAGTAGACCTTAGAGATGATCACTAACACAGCTGTCTTCTTGCCGTTCTCCAGCTTCCAAAATCAAAAAGCGAGTCACAAGTCACATTTATAACCATACTGGTGAAAGGAGCGACACTGGAGTTCAGGAGCCGCAAGTCAGTTCTGGTCAAGAATTCTGAAAGTTTAGTGTTCGTCCAGACAGACAAGCCCATCTACAAGCCTGGACAGACAGGTAACAAAGAATGGGTAGACATTTGAATTCAAAATGAAATTCCTATTGAAATTTATAGGCTATGCTGGCCAGATGTTGACAACGAGGGTCAGAACAACAGTCATAACTGAAGCATGTGTTTTAAATGCTCTGTGTGGGAATAAATTTGAAAACTGTAGGATACACACATGTACCCAAAGGTACCTGCACACACTCCATTTGTCCTTGGAAGCTCTGTCCATGCAATTTTGATCCTCTTCAATAAAATTTTCCTCCCCTTTTCTAAAACCACCAAAAAAGGGACAATGACTGGATATTTGTCCATTAGAGAATGGAGCCAAAGTTCAGGCTAGCTCAGGAAATAACTCTCAGAGTGGCAGCTGATTTTGTTCACTGAAGACATCAAGGTAGGATTGTATAAGGCATTTCTTTGGGGCTATTGTTCCGAATCGGCTCAGCATTCGGCAGTAATCACGCCGGAATGAGGTGACTACATCAAGCATTTATTCAGGTGAAAGCACATAAAAGAAGCAAAGTATGGATAAGTACTCATGAGGTGATACCTGCCAGCAGGATACTGGACCCGAACATCCTCTTGAGCTGGCAGATGAGAGAGAGTTGCTGACCAGCTCCTGCAGAGACAGCATGGGCCTCCGAGTTAGGAGTTTGTCCCTGCCCCCTGCTCTCTCCGCACTGTCCCCTCTATGCCTGGTGCATCCTGGCACGTAGGGTCAGTTCGACCCAGGAGGCAGCCTAGGGGGGTGGACAAACTCCGCCTCTAGTTGCACAACTCTCCCTGCTGGGTGCGCAGGCGCATGTACCAGTTGAGGGCCCCAGCCCTCAATTCGAGGGTCCTGCCTTCCTCCTCTTCTTCCTCCCTCTCGGGTGTTTGACCTTCCAAACTAGTTTAGAGCATATCTGTGGTTATGCTGGCTACAAGCCCGGTCGAGCAGCCACCTTCAACAAATTTCCGGAGGGGGCTGCCTGTGAACCGGGCTGAGCAGCTGCATCCATGCTCCTTATCGCTCAGCCTAGGCAGGCAAACATCTTTTTTCTCAAGGTCTGGCCTCTGCTTCCCACAGGAGATTTTTATGACTCTACAGATCATAAAAATTTCCATCTCCGATACAGCTATTCATCCCCTAAATTTTTCTTCATCAGGGACTAATGTCCTAAAAGAAAGACTGAGTACCCTCTTTGTTCAAAACCAACAAGAACTGCAAACAGTGCTGAACAGTGCTGCATTCATCCTTCTTAAGAAACCAGCCTGATTAGAACAAAATCCAAACACCCATGTTAAGTGCAATATAAGAATGTACTCTTGCAGCTGAAGTTGACAAATACAACCTGTGTCAGCCTAAGTGGTCATGATTAGATAGTTTCTGATGGCAGTGGTCAGTAAGATATTCATAGTGCCTGGGGGCATGCTCTTTAGCAACTTGTGATTAATGTTTCCCACATGGGTAGCCTTCTCACCTGACTTGGCTTTCTCGTGAATGGGATTTCTTTAGTAGCTCATGATTCTGTTCTCTGTGGTACCATCTATGTTGGCAAACAATGTTTTCTGGATGGTGACTGCATTGCAGAATCTCACCGTCTCGCCTTTCTCCTCCAGTTCTGTTTAGAATTGTTTCACTGGATGAAAATTTCCATCCCTTGAACGAGGTGGTAAGTATGGCAGCTCCTTTTCAATAGTTATTCTGCCTTAAGCCATGTTTGTGGGAAAAGGAGGTTAGAAATGTCATTTGGGGAGAACTCACACTATGCTGAGGTAGTTACGCAGTTCATAGGCTATCTCAGCTCCTATTGACCAGATCTTATCTCCAAATTTTTGCCAAGGCTGCCTTCTGCATTATTGGAAAGGTTTGAGAATGAAACTGCAAATGGACAATGTAAATACTTCAGCAATGAGCAAATCTGCCATTATCACTGTGTGCACATGGGCTTGGCTAGCCTGCTCTAACTGGTATTCCAGATCATCCAGAGTCAGTAATTTCAGCTGGCTTTTCTGTCTTGATTGGATGCCTGGGACAAAGAAGTGGCACTCCCTTGATGTACCTCATAATGCTCTGTCAATCTATATCGGAGTCTTTCTTCCTTATCCCTCTGGGTGATCATCTTGTTCCCCAAAACATGATGGTCATAGCCATGATAATTTGATCGTATTGCGTGCACTCTGCCTAAATGTGAATTCTGAATAATACTGTTTCATTTCTTCTCTTTCTAGTTTCCGCTGGTCTACATTGAGGTATGTATGGTCATTCAGTTCATGTTCAGATCTGTCATACTTCAACCTGGACTGTGTGGCTACAAGCTGCCTCAAGATGAATCTTACTTATACAGAAGGCCCGTAGCATTAATTCAAATATGCAAAGCTTTAACCCATATAGTAGCAACCATGTACTCTGCACCACGATTACAGCTAATTCTGTTATCCAGCCCTGGGATTCTCACATAGCTGTGCTAGCACTCCTCATTCCTACCTTGCAGCCATTTGCAATCCTGGGATTGAGCCTTCCCTCACTGCCTTTGCCAGGGCTTTTTAGTTCTCTTTGGAGCCATTCACTGTTGTCACAGTCACCTTATGATCCTGTTTTCTGTAGGATCCCAAGAAAAACCGTGTGTACCAGTGGACAAAGGCAGAGTTAAAAGGGGGGTTAATCCAGATGTTCTTCAATCTCACCTCTGAGCCCATCCAGGGGACCTACACAGTTGTGGTGCAGAAGGCTTCTGGGAAGACAATCCAACATCCCTTCTCTGTGGAGGAATATGGTAACTACTGCTGCTGCACACAGTTTCAAGTCTCTGGCAACTAACCTAGCAGAGCATGAAAGTTCAATTGGACAGCATAGTGGGTCTGATTAGGATACTCAGCATGACTGAAAAAGTGTCTCTGTGCCTTCTCCATCCCAAGCATCATCCCCTTCTGAGGAATGAATACTGAAGAGCTGAACTAACATTCTCTGCTCCTCCCGAAGTCTCAGGCCATACAAACATTCTTCCCCAGAGAAATCTGTCTGCCTATCTCAGCAAGACTCTCATCAGGAGCAAGTGTATTTGGGCAGTCTATACAAGCAGTCAGAAGCTGCACCCTCTTTGAAAGCCCCATCTCCAGATAGTTCCACATCTATTTGCCATACTATGAGTCTGGGTGTCCTCTGTGCTATTCCCAAACTCAGACCTTTAGGTTTAAGATG